TCTAGGCAGAAGTAGTGAGTACTTCAGTTTATTTAATAAACCGTGGTCCATCCGTGCCTTTAAATGAAAACTTTCCCTAATAAGCTTGGAGTCACAAAAAGGTAAATCTATCTCATCCGAGAGTATTTGGTTGTTCCTCACATGTTCATGTTGATGCAAGATCCAGAAGTAAACTCGATTAGAATCAGTTTAGCGCACTTTCATTGGGTATGACTCAGATGAATTTGGGTATAAATTCTAGAATAATCAAAATAAGAAATTATTTAGGAGCAGTGATGTTACTTTCAATGTAATGAGAATATACAAGGATAGGAGCAGAACTCAGGATTACATCAATTATTTATGAAGACTCTTCCAAATATGCAGAGATAGAAGATGTTGATGATTCGAGAGATGGAGAAAAAAGATGCATTCAATCTGATGAAGCAAAAAAAGTACTTTAGTCATCAGCTACTGAGTCAAGAGGTCCAACAAAATTACAAGATTGATACAAATGTAATATCCTTCTTTGTACTATTTTTTACTAACTGATAGTGGTGAACTAGAGTGCTATGAAGAGACTACTCAGGTTGAAGACTAAAATGAGTGAGTTTTTCATGGATGACGAGATGCAGTCACTGAAGTCATTTCAGATATAGGATTTGACAGAACTACTAGATGTCAAAAAGGCACTGCACAACAAGTGGATCTACAAGTTGAAAGAAGAGTCAAATGGTAGCAAGAACTACATGACAAGACTTATTGTGAAGGGGGTTTCAACAAAAAGGAGTGGACTATTCAAAGATATTTTGTCTAGTAGTGAATATGATAACTATCAGAGTTGTGTTGAGCTTAGTAGCAGAGAAAACTCTGCATCTGGAGCATACAGATGTGGAGATAGTTTTCTTGCATGGTGACTTAGAAGAAGAGTTGTAAATGGTGCAACCATTGGGATGTACAATTCCAAAAAAAAGATGGAATAGTCTGTAGAATGAAGAAGAGTATGGTTTGAAGCTGACACAAAGACAATGGTACAGGAGGTTTGACAGGTTAATGTTAGATAATGGATATACAAAGTATCAGACAAATCATTATTTTTCATAAAAAAATTATTAATTGTTATATCATGATTCTATTATATGTGGATGTCATGCTGATTGTAAGAGCAGACATAGAGAAGATCAGAGATTTGAAGTAGCAATTAATTAGGGAGTTTGAGATGAACAATTTAAGTTCTAGGTAGAATATCCTCAATATGAAAATCAACAGGGAAAGGAGTGCAGGTACATTGATGTTTTCTTAGGTAAAATATGTTGAGAATGTTCTACATAGATTTACCTTTGAGTGAGGCTAAACTATTTTGCACCCTTCAGCCACTTTAAGCCATCTAAGGAGCAATCACATAAGTTTGAAGCAGAGCAGTACAAATGAAAAGAACCCCATGTGCTCCAGTTGTTGGAAGTTAGATATATAAGATGATATGTATATGATCATATATTGCACATACAGTGAGAGTGGTCAACATATACTTGAGTAATTTAGGAAATCATCATTGGAAGGTGGTGTAGGGGATTTCAGATACTTTAGAGGATTAATCATTGTTACATTGTTTTGGAAGTGAAGGAATTAATATACAAAGATTTATAGATTCAGATTTGGCAGGGGATATCAATGGTAGAAGTACAATAGGGTATTTCTTCACATTAGGGGACAAAAGAATGAGTTGAGCTTACAGGCTACAGAAGATTGTTGCACTTTCAACTGCAGAAGCTGAGTACATTTCTATCACTAAGACTTGTAAGCATAAGATTTGTTTGCAAAGCTTTTTGACAGAATTAGGGAAAAAACAAAGGATTAGAAAGCTTCATAGTGACTCTGGGCTCTCAAAATTTGAAATACCCGACCTCTCTCAAAATGAAATGAGTATGAGTGAGAGTTTATCGTGAGGTTTTGGTTAAATTTTTGAGAAGGCAGATGGATAGTAGATAAATTACTATCTAGAAATTTTGCCCTCATTTTATGAAAACTTTAAGATTTGGGGTTTGAGGTTTACTATAGGTGCAAGTCCTTATGGTTAATTATCATTCCCGATAATGGGAGACTACTTTCGATTAAGGCTTATCATTAGGCATTATGTTTTCAAGTTTAGCTTATAGTAGCATAAAATTTAAAATTTAAAATTATAAAATTATCATCGTGATTTTAGACCAGATGGTGGGGAAATTGATGGTGCGCCCGATCAAGATCATATGATTTTGTCATCCTGAGATGTCATGATCCCTCATCTATTTAGTCAACGGAAGTAGTGGACCCAACTTGATAGAAGGATTCTTTCCAGCAGTCTTGGGTTACTTCGTCTAAGGGAAGCTTGTAGATTGTTTGTCTAAGTAGACTAATGTAATTTGACATTAGCTTATAGATAATTTTATGCCCTATCAAGTATACCCTATGATTCATGACTCAAAATGATAGAATGTCATTAGAGAACATACAGGCTATAGCCGTAACCATTTTACATTGGAGTCTCTTGGCTAAACCACTTGATGGAGCATATTGTTTTAATCACTTCTGTTGTGGAGCTTACTGGTCAAATCACGTGGATAGAAAACTAGGGTCACATTCTTACTGGCACATGATAGTTTTGAGTTTGAATTTGATAATATATTTGATATGATATTGGCTCTTTGTGCGACTGAGTTAATGTTAAATGTCCATCTCGATAAAGTGTTGTGGAGGGTGGATTTATTTTACTTTAAGCATTAAGTAATAGGTTAGCTTAAATATTTTTGGATTTTAAGCGTTAAAATTTTTATATTATGAAAATATTTCTTCCAGTTGAGATGTGCAATAAATATGCCCATCATCAAGGATCATATTTTATTTTTGAAATGCTTTTGTTATGATTTGAATGAATTTACTTACTCGAGTATTCAAAAAGGTTTTTAGTCCTATCAACTTCAATTCTGATTAGGAGGATCAAACTGGAGGCTCAGTCCTATCAACTTCAGTCCCTGTAAAGAGGTGGATCTACTGCCTAAAGTAGAACTTACGACATTTTCCTATAGGCAAAGCGGTTCATTCGAGGGGGTGCGTAATTGCATAGATTTGAATTGAATTTGATAGTTGAAAATTACATTTTTACAAATCTTTGATATGCATACACATTTCTCAAGATAGATTTAATTTTAGCTCAAGCATGCAATTTACCTTCACAACATTCTCAGACGTTTAAATTTAAGAACTTGGGGTTATCATTGGAGCACATTCTAGTATTTTAATTTTTTGGCTTGAGTTAATTTTAGAAAATTTGCACGTCTTTTAAGAAGATATAAGACAACACTCAAGCTTATATTTGACCCACGTATTCCCGGGCCTTGGGATTGAGCATTTAGCACATTGGTGATGCAGTACATCATCTAAATGAAGCCAAAGATCCACTCACAAGAACTCAAGTAAAAGCCTAAGAAAGTGCCCATTTAAGAGCCCATTCGAGGCCCATCACAAGAGCCCTATCATAAAGAAATATTTGAATTTTATTTATTATTTATATTCCAATTTCACTTTCTAAAAAGTTTAAATTTTCAAATTTGGAGGCTTTTATTACTTGTCATAAAAATTAAGAAATTAGTATGGTGGTTATTAACTTTATTAATGACCACCTCCCTTCAAAATTTTCTTCTTTTTTTGACTTTTTGTCATTGTAATCTCATAAATATGACTGATATGTGATGACTTAAATCATTTGTTGAATAAAATATTTTAGTGAGAATTTTCTCTTTTGTTGCTTGTTGCTTGTTAATTGTGGCTTCAATTGTTGCATTTTCTTTGGTAACATTAGATATTTATATTTATTTATTTTTAATCATTTATTATCCCTCTATATCACTTTAAAATTTTCACCACCCCTCATCCACTTCCTAAATATATCTTAATACCAATAACCAACAACGAAAGCCTTACAATGATTCTAAACCCCTCTTCATAGCTCTCGGCCAAACTAGAGCATATTAATGCCTAGTCTTGTTCCCTAACCCTGAACTAGAGCATATTTTTTACTCCATGAAGCTCACTGAATACCTGTAACTTTCAAAACATGGCATAAACACCTTTGACAAGCATAAATCATCATAGTAAGGAAATAAAACATGGAATTTATGCAGGAAAATATCACGAATTTGGTTCACATCAGCGTGCGACATCACTGCCATAAAATTCTTTTAACTCACCCGCTTATAAGGTGCACATGAAACTTCAATTAACATGCATGAATTGGTATAAATACAAAATTCTTCGCTGAGTTGTTCCAACTCGGATGAGTCCTTATCTAACAATTTTCCTCACCCATTGAAACAATGTGAACGAGTACTATTGAGCAATTTTTTTCTGTCGAGTTGGACCAATCCGAATGGGTATTTAGGGTTTCCTGCATTTTCTACATTTGCATGAGGTGAGACGATGAAATGAAAATACAAAATTTTTTTTTAACTCTTTGATATATATATATATATATATATATATATATATAAATTTTTATCAAGATATGTTTTGATAAGGCATGATAGGTAAACTATATATTTGTTGGTCAAGAGAGATGTTCGCTGGATATATGGATGTGGTGAAGTGCAGGCTTGGAGATGTGAAAGTGTGATAGCTGTATTGTAATTTTGAGGCTAGGAGATGTGAAAGTGTGAAATGCATTGATCATCCAAACTTTATGAGTTTTACTTGATCACTTTGAAATTATGATGTTGTTCCGTGAGAAGCGTCACTGTAGCTGAAAGTGCTAAATGAAAATGATATTTTTTTAGTTAACATATACGAAACACCAAAAAATTAAATACAATTGCATCCTCATTGTTGATGCGACTGCAAAATTATATTCGCCCTTTAGCAAGTCGAATCATATCTACATTTATGACCTCGTGCATTTTTAAGTATATAAGCTAGAACAGAAATTTTCGTCAATTTACATATTTTCTGAATGTATTGCATTGAACCATCTAAAATGAATGTCGTTTCAGGGCTTAGGTCTGCTGACCCTATCCTCTGTGCTGCCTAGCCTTCGTCCACCCAAGTGTATGAATGATGATAAGGCATGTAGTCCAAATTATTTCCAAACAGGCTTCTTCTACTTTGCTTTGTACCTTGTTGCAATTGCTCAAGGTGGGCACAAGCCTTGCACAGAGGCATTTGGTGCTGATCAGTTTGATGAGAAGGACCCTGAAGAAAGCATCTCAAGAAGCTCATTTTTTAACTGGTGGTATTGTGGCTTATGTTTTGGTGTGACTGTGACGACTATATTCTTGAACTACGTGCAAGATAATATTAGCTGGGCTGTTGGATATGGGATATCATTTATTTCCATGGGACTTGCTCTCATCTTGTTCGTGCTTGGGACAAAGACATACCGCTTCTACCAATTGGAAGGTGAAAGTCCATTCCTTAGAATTGGGAAAACATTGGTTGCTCTACTTAAAAGTTGGATGGGCTCCTCTCATGCATCATCTGATGGAGGACTTGATCGTACGAAGTAAGGGAAATTCTGTTGAAATGGTTTGTTCATCCATCATCATTTCAAATGCTTTCTCATTTCTTTTCATCCTTTCAAGATTTGGAAAGCCCCACTTTAAGCTCAGTAGGATATCTTCTTAGAATCATAAACCATCTTCCATTGCCAAACTTGTGACGTGAATATTGCAATTTTCTCTTTACAATTACTGGTTTTTATAATTCTCGTGTTGGTGACAGATGCTTGAATTTCTGCATTACAATGTCATGTTATGTCATATAGCACGGAAATTTGTAAACCCTTTTTTTTTCAAATGAAATGCTTATATAAATCCATTTTTTATAGGCTTGTGAAAGATGCAGCAGCAAATGATATCCAAATAGAAGAAGCTAGAGGAGTGCTTCAGTTGGTACCAATATGGGCGGCATGCTTAACATATGCTGTAGTATATGCGCAGTCAGCAACCTTTTTCACCCAACAAGGGAGCACCCTGGACCGTAGAATTGGTTCAAACTTCAAAGTTCCACCTGCAGCCTTGCAGAGCTTCATCAGCATCACCATTGTCGCTTTCATTCCAATTTATGATCAAATCCTAGTTCCGGTGTCCAGAAAATTTTCTAGCATTCCTACTGGAATCACACAGCTCCAACGGATAGGCATTGGAATGTTCTTCTCAGTAATATCCATGGTATTAGCAGCTCTAGTTGAAATCAAAAGATTGAAAACTGCAAAAGACCATGGATTGATTGATCTACCAAAGATGACCATTCCGATGAGTCTGTGGTGGTTGGTTCCTCAATACCTTCTTTATGGCATTACGGAGGTGTTTGTTACGGTGGGCTTACAGGAATTCTTCTACGATCAAGTTCCTAATGCATTGAGGAGCCTTGGCCTGGCGCTCTGCATGACCATCTTTGGTGTTGGATATTTCATCAGTAGCTTCCTCATTTCTGTCATTGATAAGGCAACTAGTAAGGTTGGAGAGAGTTGGTTTTCTGATAATCTGAACCGTGCGCATCTTGATTATTTCTACTGGCTTCTTGGTTCTCTCAACGCTGTAGGACTGATCACCTACCTCTACTTTGCGCGATCTTATGTATACAAGAAGAAAAAAAATGCTGCTGTTTTGAGCTAAGGTATTTCTTTAGGATTTTGTTGGTTGCATGTTAATCGACGGTTTTTAGAAGTAATAAAGTTGCATTTCCTTAGTTCGAGTCTTAAATAAACTCGTTTAATTAATGGAGGTTGAGCATCGAGGTTATTAACGATGTATGAGCTTCTGTATTTGTATTGCATTTTGTATTTTAATCGTACTACTATGGGCAATAAATTTAATGCCTTTATTGATGCTAGATATGTGGACTCCGAAAATTTGTGTCTCGTACTCATTGAGAGTTTTGTGTTGTTTCAGGCCATATTTTCAGAAGACAGATTAAATAGTTGATAAGACATTATCTTAAGATTTCATTCTCATTTTTTCAGAATTTTAAGTTGAAAGCTTTTGTCATGTTCTGGGTTATATTTTGAGAAGACATATTAGATTGTTGATGAGATACTATCAAGAGATTTCTTTCTCATTTTGAGAGAATTTTAAGATTAGGAGTTCAAAATTTTTTATTGGTATAAGCCCATATGATTAATTATCAATCCTGGTAATGAGAGAACACTATTGATTAAGACTAGTCATACCACTGAATATTCATAATATAGTAGTAGCAAATTTAAAGTTTATTTTATAAAATTTGTCACATTAAGCATAGAGTTGATGCTGAGGTAAATGATGATGAATTCGATCAAGATTCTATGGTTATGTCGACCGGGTCGTATTGGTCTCTGATATATTTAGTCATAAGGGATAGTTGACCCAACATGATTGAAAAATCTTTCTCGACAGCCATGAATTGTGTCAATCAAAGGATTCTTTTAGATCGGGGGGGATTGGGGGGGCGATGCGCTGGGGCAGAGGCGTAATTCTAAATCGATTCTAACTAATAGATGGTTTTGCTCATATCAAATATACACTTATGATTCACAGTTCAAAGGAAATGAAACCTTTAGAAAAATACTAGTTACAAACATGATCGTTATTTAAAAAGTGTCCTTTGGCATCAAATCACCTGGTTAGAAGGTTATGAAAATAACATCTTATTTTTTGTGAAGTTGTTGGGTCAAATCATAAACTCATACTAGATTCTTACTAGCATGAGGCTATTTTGCGTGTGAATATAAAAATATATTTGATCTATCATTTATTATTTATAAATTGAGGTCAATAAAAAAATTGTCACTCTCGACAAAAAGTTGTGGATTGTCTTGAGAATTTTTAGTTTATAAATTTGAAATTTTAATTTGACAGCTTAATTTAAAAATTAACTCATCCTGTTGAGATTTTCAATCAAGACGACCATCATATGAAGAGGATCAAACTAGTTAATTTGAACTTCAATTTTTTTTTTATATAAATAATTTGTTCTATCTGAGTTCATGCCTGATTTAGTTATCTTAGTTTCACTTTAAAATGTGTTTATAATTTTTAAAATAATCATAAATTCTACAAAAAATGAGATTTGTACACATCTCAAAACAATAAGAATTTATTTGACACTTAATTTTAACATGTGTAATATTGTCATATTGTTTAAATTTAAGCACTAGTTCATTTGTTGGACCACATATAAATTTTCAATTTTTTTTTCCCCCATAGTACAAGGCATTTCCAATGAATTTAAATGAGCCATATAACATTATCAGACATTCAGGTTTAAATATTTAATATGAAAATCAGGCCCTTGCGGGATTTAAATTTCATAGATTTGAGTACTTAAAAAAACTTGCATGCTTTTTAATGCAACTTATATGACTTTCAAGACATGAATTTGGATTAAAATTTGACTCAAGAAATACATGTAAAGCTTGAAATTATATGAATTAGGCTATTTATATGAACACTTTGATGTGTGTTGTGATTTTAAGGAAAAACAACTTGTCCTCTGTCAACCTGTGAATACATATTGTGGGCAAGATGTGTTAAGTCATTGTTTAGCACTTAAAAATGATATTTTATGTGCTTGTATTGTTCCATAATTTATGTATTTAAATATGTAATATAATTATACTTTTGCATTATGACATTGATTTTTATTTGATCATCTCCAAGTATGATTTTAATTTGCAGCTAATCATGTTTAAATCTAAAGAGAAGCCTAGTCACATAAATACACGAGTTATTAAATTCTTCATAAATACTATATAAATTTTGTGAGCATTTAACTTTGTTCTTTTAAAACGTATAAGAGGTTTGTCAAGTTCATGTCAGATAGTGGATGCGTGAAGTGTTAGACATAACACTATTGCTTCATCAAAATTCTTTGTAATTACTATATCTGGCTTCTTTTGTATGTGGATGACGTTAGTTGTAAGGAAAAATATAGAGAAAATCAGGGACTTGAGAAAACAAATATCAGCAAAATTTGAGATAAAGGATTTAGGTCCAATCAAGAAGATCCATTGGGATAAGAATCAACAGGTATATAAGTGCAAGTACACTAAAGTTGCCTCACACATAGTATGTTAAGAAGATCCTATAAATGTTCAACATGAGTGAGACAAAACTAATTTGCACCCCTTTATGTAGTCATTTCAATCTCTCTAGTATCTCTTACCTAAGTCTGAAGCAGACCAATCACAAATGAGGAGAACTTCCTATGCTTTAGTCATTGGAAGTCTGATGTATGTTATGATATGTATGTGTCTAGATATTGCACATGTAGTGGGAGTGGTCACTAGGTACATGGGCAATCCAAATAATTAATATTGGGAAATAGTGAAGTGGATTTTTAGATATTTGAGGGGGAAAATCGAGGTGACACTTTGCTTTGGATGTGCAGAGATTGATATAGAATTCTATGTAGATTCAGATCTGGCAAAAGATATAGAAGTTATAAGAAATGCGACATGATATATCTTCACTTTGAGGAACACGATAGTAAGTTAAGTTTCTAGGTTGTAAAAGATTGTTGCACTTTCAAGTATGGAAGTCAAATGCATTGCTATCGCTGAGGCTAGAAAGGAGATTATTTGGCTGCAAAACTTTATGACAAGATATTGAAAAGTTTCATAGCGACAATACGATTATAGAATAAAAACTATTTCAACATGCTATCCACATTCCTAAACATCTACTACATCACCACAAGGAAAAACAAGGAAATTTACTTAAATCAGTTGGATAAAATAACACCATAATGTATTGAAACAAAGAGATTCGACATATAAATGTGCTTTAAAAAACTACAATTCCAAATCACAAATATACTTGTCTCTCGCCCTCAATTTGCCTTGAGGATGCTCCACCCAAGTCTTTTCTCTTCTCCTGTAACTCTTTACAAAGAAACACTTACAAAACAACACAACTCACACCCCTTGACTTGCTGAGAACAAGCCTAGGACACTTACAAACATAGGAGGAAAATCTCTTTAAAACTCTCTAACACACCTTATAAATCACCAGAAACACATCCTTTCTTACTCCTTTTTCTCTCCCTTCACAAACTCTTCATTTCTCCCCCTAATGCTCTCTAAAATGCTCTTTAAACTACCTTGAAACTGCTCTAAACCATCTCGAAACCTTTCATAATTCAGTACTGGCGCCTAGGCGCCACACTAATCTGGTAGCATGGCCCTGGCCTTCAGGACTGGGGCCTTGACGCTCGGTGGTTGGCGCCTAAGCGCCAACTTCTCGGGTTGCCTTTTACTTCACTGGTGCCTAGGATCCACACTGATCTTGCTTCATGGCCTTGGCCTTCAGGGTTGGGTCCTTGGCGCCCTGGCACCAATCTCTCAGGTTCTATGCTTGGTTGGCGCTTAGGCGCCTAGTACTTGGCGTCATGACCCCAATCTTAACTGTTTTTTGTTCCAAATCTTCTTTTTTTTGCTCCACACTTCTTCCACTTTGTTCTACTTCTAATAACTGTTATACTTGCAATAAAAACATAAAAATATCCTTCTTTAAAGTACAGTTTCATTCAAAAAGATGTGCAAAACGTAAAGAAATTCATACAATCTTTTCACACATCAGGAGTGCACAACTATTGAGATGCATTCTCGACACATCGACACCGGAGGAACCAATAGTGGGTCAATAATAAATATTGACTAGCCCATGTAAATAAAATAATTATATATTTTTTTTTATTTCTATAATTTACTTACAATTTCATGAAAGGGCTAATTATCTTTTGGTTTTATTTCTATAGGAGGCTATGAGTGTCTGAGGGACAGGAGGAGTCAAAGCCAGATAAGTTTTGGAAGTAACAGTGGTCAGTCACATCCTGACCACTCAGATTTCGAGATTTAAAGGGAAGCTACTAGGAAGAAGAAGGGGATGATCTATGTCTTGGGCGCTCAAAAATTTGTTAACGAGGATGGGCAATCATATTTATAACAAAGCCATAAGCCATCATCATCGATTGATGACAAACTTCATAAGCGTGTGGTCGTAGTTGCTGAGGAGTTACAAGCAAAATTCAAAGCTGAATTTTGTGATGGAGATGTGAGGGTTAGGAGGATTGAGGCCAAAGTTGCATAGATGCAATGCGACGTCTGTCGTAGCAAGTGGCCTCTAAATGCTGTGTAAGTGGGGAGTAGGAGGAGGACAAGGATGCCTGTAGGATTTCTATCTATTTTTTTCTTTTATATTTGGATGCTAGATTATATATATATATATATA